GCTTTCTGTAAAGTTTGGTTGAAAACGGATGTCGTTTGACGTGTTTCGGACTTAAAATGGAAAATTGATGTTTTATGAAAATTTGGAAAAAATCATGAGTTTTGACGCTTGATTCGATGAATATGATGTTATTTTGGCGATTTGATCGCCCGGATAAGTCCGTAGGATATTTTTGAGGTTGTGTGCATATTTGGTTTGGTGCCCCGAGGGCTCGGGTGAGTTTTGAATAGGTGTCGGATTGCATTTTTGTATTTTTGGAAAATCTGGTATCACTGATCTACAGGCTTCGCAAATGCGAACTCGCAAATGCGAGCTGCTCATCGCAAATGCGAAGATGAGCCCTGGGCAGCTTGATCGCAAATGCGGCCACTTTCTTCGCAAAAGCGAAGGTCAAGTGTTCGCAAATGCGAGACCTTTTCGCAAATGCGAAGGTCTCCTGATGGGTCTGAGTTGGCAAATGCGAACGGTTGTTCGCAATTCCCACACTTGGTCGGGGTTCGCAATTGCGAACCCCAGTTTGCAATTCCCATATCTGCAGCCCAACAATTTTCATACTTAGTCGAATTTTTGGCTATTTTTCACCCCACTTTCAAAATACAACTCCTTAGGCGATTTTTCAAGAACAAAACTTCTTCCAAATCACTTGTAAGTCAATTTTTACTCAATTCTTTCAATAATTAACATCATTTAACATGTTTTCCACTTAAAATCAATAATTTTGATGGGTGAAATTGAGGGTTTTGGGTAGAACCTAGGTTTTCAAAAAAATTGGGGATTTGGACCTCAATTTGAGGTCCGATTTCAAAACAAATTACATATATGAGTTCGTGGGGGAATGGGTAACCGGTGTTTTGGTTTGAACCTCGAGTTTTGACCACATGGGCCCGGGGGAAATTTTGAATTTTTGGGAAAAACTTTGGAAAATTCATTTTTATGCATTCAAATTGATTCATTTAGTGTTTATTAAAGTAATTAAGTGACTTGTGACTAGATTCGAGCGGATTGGAGGTGGAATCACGGGGTAAAGCCATAGTTGAGGCTTGAGTTGAGTTCAAGACATTGAGGTAAGTGTTTGGTCTAACCCTATCTTGAGGGAATAGGAGTTGAGTCTTATTTGCTACTTGTTGATTGTCGAGTACGATGTATAGACATGGTGACGAGTATCTATACATTGGTGTCTAGCATGACTGTGAGTCCTTATTTTGCGAATAGTTTGGATTTTGTTATACCTTCCATGCTTAATTGATGACTTCTATATGTTGTAAAGAGCTTGTGAAAGGAATTGTGATCTTTAAACTTCGTGGAGCGTTGGCTCGAGTTGAAATACAAATTGTGAAGGTATATGAGATAAGTAAATCTTTGGAGCATCGGCTCGAGTGATAATGTGAACTATGTGATGAAAGTGAAAGAAAGAGAAAGAGTTATTGATCCATTCCCTTGCCGGGACGTTGTTGATTATTGAATATTTTCCCTTGCCGGGACGTTGAGATTATTGATGTTGTACCCTTACCGGGATTTAATTGTTTTATTGTGTTCCCTTGCCGGGATTTCTATTATTATTTTGTTTATTCCCTTGCCCTTGTTTGTGATTGTTGTTTGGGTGAGGAAGAGAGTAAAGCACGAAGGGTGATGCCGTGCATTGTTTGTTTATTGTGAGGACAGAGTGTAAAGCACGAAGGGTGATGCCGTGCATTGTTTTCTATTGTGCGGAAAGAGTGTAAAGCACGAAGGGTGATGCCGTGCCGCACGATGTACCATTCCGTGCCAATTCTATTAATTATATATGTGAGGAAAGAGAGTAAAAGCACGAAGGATGATGCCGTGCACATTTTGTTATTCTAATTGCTTGGTGAGGACGAGAGTAAAAGCACGAAGGGTGATGCCGTGCACTTGTCTTTGATTTTCCTGATTTTCTTGCTGATCATTGAGTTATGTTGTCCTTTACTTCTATTTGTTGATTTTCTGGTTGTTATTGGTTCAAGTGCATTAATTGTCTGATTCCCCTGTTAGTGAGATTCTTTATGTTGGCATTTTCCTTTATCGTGTTACTTTTTATTATTGGCTCGATGTATCCTAGCGCAACACTATGCTTTGAAATTATGCTATAATTGCTACATGTTTATGTGATTTAATTGCTACTTGACATTTAGCATACTAAATGTTAAATTGCCTATTTGCTCCTTATAATCCATAATTAATTGCTAATTGTCATTATTTATTTTCCTTAGTGAATCATAAATTTTGAGTACTTGTTGTCTTAAGAACTCGTATTAATTATTGCGTTTGTTAGAGTAAATTTTCTTTTGGAGGAACTGTTGATTTAATGAAATAGGAGCGGGTGGTACGCCTACCACAAGTGATATTGAAATGGGAGCGGGTGATACGCCTACCACGAGTGATATTGAAATGGGAGCGGGTGGTACGCCTACCACGAGTGATATTGAAATGGGAGCGGGTGGTACGCCTACCACGAGATATTGAGAAATGGGATCGGGTTGCACGCCTGCAACAAGATGAGTTGAACATGAAAGTTGCCTTATCTCTTCATTTACTTCTAGAAGTTAAATTGTAGATGTACGCTTTATTATTCCTGAAATTCTATTTCTAACTGTTGCTTCTGAAGCATGCTCCCTTCCCCAGCTTAAATTGTTATTTTCTTGCTACGTCTCCGTTGTACTTGTATATATATCTGGACAGGTTTATTTGGTGGTCTGGTCCTGGCCTTGTCACTACTTCGCCGGGGTTAAGCTAGGCACTTACCAGCACACGGGGTCGGTTGTGCTGATACTACCCTCTTTGCTATTTTGCACAGATCCCAGGCTTCAGACAGCAGCAGTAATAGAGTGGGAGCAGGCTTTCAGTCCAGTGAGACCCAAGGTAGCCTTGCAGGCGTTCGCAGGCCCTGGCGTCTCCTTTCATCTATATTCCCGTTTCTTTCATGTAATTTTGGAGACAATGTCGAGTTTATTTCTTTCAGACCTTTTGTGAGCACGTGATTTTTGCCCTACATGAATTACTCCCATATACTCAAAACAAATAGTTTCTTTCAGTGTTTGCAATTTTGTGGATTTTCGTGGCATTTTTCTGTTAATTGTTTGCATTTTGGTTTGTGCATTTTAATTAGTAAAAAATACAAAAATACACATTGCATTTGCATTTAGGACTTAATTTTACATATTTTAGATTAATTAGTAATTAGGGTTTTACGAAAATAGAAAAATCTCAAAAAATGATTTATTTTGCTTTGAATTTTGATTAGTTTTCCTTTGAGTTGTTTTAATTAAGTATGTTAATCATCATTTAGGTTTAATTGATATAATTAGGTCCTAAGATTAACTTCAGATTTTTATTTTTATTTTTATTTTTACTTTTGAAAAAAGAAAAAGAAAAGAAATAAATAAAAAGGGGGAATTAAGAGAAAAGGAATTAAAAAGAGAGAAGGTTAAATTGGGCCAAATTTTGGTTTTAAGCATTCAAGCCCAAATTTTCCACCCCTAACCCGCAGCGCAGTTGCCCCACCCGGTCCGATCTCGACCCTAGACGAAACGACCCTGTTTTAGGCTAGATTGAATCTGAGTCGTCGAGGTTCTTTTGATCGAACGGTCTTAAACTGGGGTGGACTTAATATAAATATGTCCGAACTCCAACCCCCCCCCCCCTCTTTCACTCGTCTTTCTCACACCCCCAATCAGAGATTCCCCAAGAACCCTAGAAGCCGCCTCACTTCTCCACCGCTTTGGGGTGGCGGCGCCACCACCAATCACCCCCAAATTAACACCCCTTGACCGCAATGAACCCCTCATCCCAAATCTCAGACCCATTCTCCTCGAATCCCCTTGGATTTGTTCGAATTTTAGATCAAAGGCGGAACCCTATCATCCTAAATTCTTCCAAATCGAAATCCCGTTGAAAATTTGGGTCTATTTCGACTTTATTCATGGGTTCTTGATAAGAGCACAAGATTAATATCGAATTGGACCTGGAAAATGGGAAGTTTCTTTTGAAGACTCGAGCTCCATTTCTTGTTGGCCAAAATATGTCGGGTATTTCCTGTTTCTTCGTTATTTTTCCTCATTAATTGCTTTCATTTGTTCTGTTCGTCTTCCATTCTTTTCTTTTCTTTGATTCTGCCTCACTTCTAGCTTCTTAAAGAGTGTTCGACATGCATGTTAGTTTAAACTGTTTAGGTCATATAGTCTGTTTAGTTAAGATAGCCTCTATTTGTTAATTTCAGTCCGTTTAATTGCATTCTTTATTTGATTCTGGTTTGCCCTCTTTAGTAAATTGGGTTTCGATTTGGGTTTAGGGTCGTCCTTTTAGATTTCAGTCATGGTTTGGTTTATTTTTTAATGAATTCAGCCCATAGTAACTTTTGACCCATACCTGTTTGGTTTTATTTGGTTAATACATGGCATTTTGGGGGGTAGTTTGGGGAGTTTAGGGTGGGGAATCATTTAGCAACTGCTAGGAAACTTCCAGAAGCTGCATAATGTGTTAGCTTGGTAATCAAGTCAGAAAATAAAGGACTAAGGAGCAAAATGCAAAATTTGAAAAGGATTAAATGGAAATATCTGAACATTTTATAGCTGCCCTAATACCTTGCCTATAAAGGCATCCTAACTTGACTCTCAAGGGAGAAGACTTGAAGAATAAAAAAAATACAAAAGAGGCTGCTACTGTTCCATCGGATTTCAGCTCTGAACTTTGAAAGTTTTTCATCTCTGAATTAATTTTGGTTTTCACCTTCTGTCCGGGCTTTGAAATGGCTTGAAAGTGAGTTAGTGATTTCAGATTTGGGTGTTCTGGTTGTTTGGAGTTGGTATCAGTTGTTCAAATTGCATTTCTCTAGGTTTTTGAACTGTTGAGTTTGCTGTTCCATTGAAGTTTGGAGTCAATTCTGTGGTCTCATCATTGGATCTGGGGCTGTCTGTTGCTGTTTTCATTCCCTGCTGAAGTTTAGCTTCTGATCCCTCCTTGTTCACTTATTCTTATCATTTCAGGTATATTCCGATCTCTATGGTTGCTATTTGACGTGTAATCTGAAGCTTGAGCTGAAAATCAATGATAATCTCGGTTTTGTAACCATTACATGGCTTCGAAGTTTGTTTAATGCACTTGTCAAAGCATGATTGTAGTTGTTAATTAAATCCTGTCATTTCAGTATGGTGATTGTCTTCTAATTCTGAGTGTTATAGTTAGTAACTAGAATTGGATTGTCTTCGAGTTTTGTTTGTATTATTGTAGTAATGAGGTCGTTAAACATGGTTGTCAAGTCAGAATCTGGTGTTTATAACAAAATAGCATAGCAAGTACTATCTCACTGACTTGTGATGTTAGTTTTATTAATTCAGGATAATTTGAAATGAATTCAAAGCATGAAAATGGTTAATAATTAGTATGTTCTGTGCAGATTTGGTCCCTGTGGTTGGAATGGTCATTATGTGAGTGTGATCATATTTTAAACATTTTTGAAGTTGAATTCTAATCAGTTTTTTAGCCTTCAGTAATGGTATGTTCAATTTGTTTGATCTTGCAATGATAAATTTACAGGGGTATTGGCCTCTTGGGCCTTTCGTTACTTTCATTTTGGGGTTCTTCAGTTCCATCTTTCGTTGGAATTGGGTTCATATGGACCCCAGGCCCAACGTTAGGAGCCCTGATCTGCTCTATGCGGTTAGCTAAGCTCAATAAATCACGTTAGCCTTTAAATAAATCATGTCTGAACAATTAGAAGTTGTGTTTTTTTTGTTCTTATTAACCAATTGGGCTCACTCTCATGCCCAAGTTTGAAAGCCCCATGAATGGACTTGGGACTCCCCTTGTCTTTGTTGAATCCCGTTCGCCATTAACCATTCATGTTGACCAAGCTCCCCTCCTTTATTAATTAATCCTTTCTATCTTTCAACTTCCCGAACTCATTTAGTACTAATTGGTTGGACTTTTAATTAGTTGGAGGTGAGCCGTAGTAGATAACAAATAGTTTATGGCCCTCCGAGTTTTTAGCTTAAATATCCTTTAAAATAGAATCGAGGTGCGCCGCGCCAAATAAAATGACAATTGCGTGGCCCTCGCTTTATTTAATCTTGAATTGACCCTTAGATTTCGAGGCGTGCCATTTAGCAAATTCCATGGCCCTCGCAAAGTGCAAACGCGTAGTTGCTTCAGGCGCGTGTTTAATAATATTAATTTCCTAAATTCGGGTGCGCATTTATATGATCCAAATCCAAATCTCAACGATGTTAAGATATGTCAAAAACCACGGGTGCATTTATGTGACGTGGTTCGAGACGTGTTTTAACAATGTTGCAATTCTCTTTAAAAATAATAATAAAAGCGGTTAAAAGTTAAATTTGCACATTCATAATTGTTTAAAATCAGATAATTTAAGCCGAATATGACAGTTGAGCGACCATGCTAGAACCACGGAAACCGGGAATGCCTAACACCTTCTCCCAGGTTAACAGAATTCCTTACTCGGATTTCTGGTTCTCGGACTGTTAAACAGAATCATTATTTTCCTCAATTCGGGATTCTAAACCGGTGACTTGGGACACAATAAATCTCCCAAGTGGCGACTCTGATTTTTAATAAACGAATCCCGTTTCGATTGTAACTTCAAGTTGGAAATAACTCCCTTTCTTATACCCCTTTCGGGGGTGTAGTGAAAAAAGGAGGTGTGACAGCTCTGGCGACTCTGCTGGGAACATGAACCCAGAACTTTTGGTTCAGGGTTCAAGAATTCGAGCTTAGAATAATTGTTGTATTTGGCTTTATTTATTATCTGATATTTTTACATGTTGGGCTTAATGTGCAAAATGATGCTTTTACCCCTTTGATATTATTTGAACTGTACATATAAACTATTACGAAACCCTTCTCTTCTTATCTTCGGGGATGTGCTCGCTGGTCGAGACTCCCTATTCTTTTAGTGTCATACCTTGAAATAAGAAAGAGGCTCGGACAAGTTACTAAGCCAGATGATCTTTCGGGTCCCCGGTACGTAGCCCCCTCCTTGACTCGAGTTGTCCGCTCGGGTACACAGTCTAGAACAAATACCCAGGTTTTGAACCTAGAATAACTCAGCCTCATGCCGGATCCCTAGAAGGAACGTTTGTTTGCATCATGTGCATTTGACTTTGGAGGCTCAACACAGGGGTTGGGTCTGTCTAGGACAGGTGTACCAAAATTGAAAACAGACCATCCTGATGCATCTTACGTACTGCTTGTGCATTTATTTGCTTCGGACTTGCATGCTGACCAGCTTTCAAATATTTGGGGAAAAAGGAAAAAAGGGGAGAGAAACAGCGGTATGAGGGCTAAAGAGAGAAAATTACCCGTTTTGGAAAAACCAATGTCCAAATAGTGTCGAAACTCTGCCGAATTTTTTTTTGGGGAAAATGAAGAAACAATAGAATGAAAAAATGTGTTTGTTTTCAAAAATAGTTTGTTTTATTTGCCAATGAAAAAGAAAAAAAAGAGTCTTGTGTTCAAAAAATAATTTATATATTCGCCAATGAAATGAAAAAAAAGGGAGTCTTGTTTTAAAAAATAGTTTGTTTTATTTGCCCGAACTACGCCAGTTTGATTCTCACAGGGCGTGAGATACGTAGGCAACCCTCATCGGATCCAACTTCCCTTTTGCAAAACTAGCCCAAAAAGAACAAAATTTTATTTTTATTATAAATAAGTAAGGTGATGCCATTCTTGTCAAAAATAGCCGAATGTCCCTAAAAAGGCGCCGGAGGGCTATTTTTGCAAGAACAACCACCTTTGGTCATTTTTAAATTTTTTGGCCGGTTAGCGAACACAGCCTTAAAATCTTCTTCCTCGAGGTGCTGAAAGGCCGTATTGGAAAAGCCGGATATTTTTATGAAAATTTTTGAAAGTAGGGATAATTTTTGACTCAAAAATGAGTCTTGATTTTCCTCCTATTAGTTTCCTTTTTGAGCCTGTTGGTTTTTATGGTAAAAATTCGGTAGGATGAGAAGTTGTAATCAAAACATTTTATTTTTATTTGAAAATCCCAAAATGATTTATTATTTATTTTTATCCTCCAGAACTACGCTCGGTCTGATTCATGCGGGGTCATGATACGTAGGCAATCTCCATAGGATTCGACCATAACCAAGAGAAAGAAAAAGAGTGATAAAAAAAAAGAAGAAAAAGAAAAAAGAAAAAAAGAGGAAAAGAAAATAAGAGGAGAAACAAAAGAGAAAAAAGAAAAAAGAGAGGAAAAACAAGGAAGCGAAAAGAAAAGGAGAGAGAAAGAAAATAAGAAACCGTGAGAAGGAAGCAATGGCAAAATAAGAGAGGGAAATGAGAGAATAAAAACAAAGAGAAAGTGAAGGTTTGCAATCGGAAATAGGAAAAGGCTGGGATGACGCATGCGACCAATCAAAGAGCATAATAGGAGCTGTTAACTGCTTAGGACCATTCATTCCCCAAATGTGCGGGTACCAGTATGTTAAATGCCCTATGCTAACGTGATGGTTTCATTTTGTCATATCATTTCAGACAGGTGGTCGGTTTGTGATTTTTAAAGTAACTCTTCCCTACAACACAAAGTCAAAAGGCAAGGGCAGAGAACAATAGAACTGAGTGGGTTGATACCGGTGCCCGAAAGCAGCGGGTTGAACAGGACAACGGGTTGGTAGAAGAGGTAAAGATGTTGAGACAACATGTGGCGGACGCTGTCCTTACCCAAACTCCCCCGCCACCACCCAGCTTCCTAGACGCTGTCCTTACCCAAACTCCGGACACAACGCCAGGCGATCCTCCACACTCTCCATATTTACCCGCTTATCACAGCTTTCCCAACCACCCTAGTAGCTCCATCACTCGTCGTCCAACTATCTTTTCCAGAAGTGCCCTCCGATCACATCCACTGTTCTCGATAATGAATACCCGCCCAAAGCTCATAACGCCCAATATTACCCCTCCGAGGTTGCTCACAAGGTTCCCAACTCGCACAAGCAACGCCCACGGGATGATCCTCATGTTGAAAATGAAAAATTCACGGGAAGAGAAGGGCTAGATGGGGTACCCAGGAAGCTGAAAAGCATAGAATAGTCCTTAAGGGACAAGCAAGGAATGAGGGATCAGGGTAGCGTGGATTACAAAGAACCGTCCGTGTCTCCTAACATTCGCCTACCCATGGGGTTTAAAGTACCAAAATTCAGCTTGTATGATAGGTTTGGGGATCCGGTAGTCCACCTGAAGGTTTATTGCAATGAAATGAGAAGTGTGGAAGAGAAAGATGACTTGATGATGGCATATTTCAGTAAGAACCTAACTGGGGTAGCTTTGGACTGGCATAATCGTCAAGATGTTGATAAGTGGCCTACATTGGCTGACATGGCTCAAGACTTTGTCCGATACTTTCAATGCAAATCAACTGTTACCCCAGACCGCTCCTCCCTATCTAAGATGGAAAAGAAGCCAGAGGAAAGCTTTAGGGAGTTTGGGCTCAGATGGAGGGAGCAAACTGCTCGAGTCAGTACCCTGATTGGCGAAGAAGAAATGGTTGAGCTTTTCCTACAAGCCCAGGGGCCCACCTACTTCAATCACTTGATCCCGGCTGTGGGTAGACCTTTCGATGAGGTGTTAAGAATGGGGAAGTTAGTAGAAGAGGGGAATCAAGTCAGGAAAAATCATGAGTTGGTCGAAAAACATTCAGAACATCCCAGCAAGCGTGGGTGGGGAAGGAAGGAGCAGAAAAGATGATCCGATGAGTTTTCCTGATCAATACTCCCAGCCCCGACACCGTCCCCGTAGATATCCTTGTGCACCAGGTGACCCTTCCCAATGCTACTTCTCCCCACAGTACTCCCAAAGTCGTACATCATTTTTTCGATACCCGGCTCTACAAAATGCTTATCTACCACCACGAGCCTGCCCGAGACACCCTGGATCAGGTTTTCGGCCCAATCAAGCACTTAGGGATGAGAGGTTGCAGAAGAAAAAAAAGGCCCTCACCCCTATTAGAGAATCATATGCCAGTTTGTACCAAAGGTTGAGGCAATTGAACATATTGAAGCCGATTCAGATAAAGATGCCAAACCCTCTGTCAAAGAAGTTTGATTTTTCTCAAAGGTGCGCATATTGCTCAGATGCCCCGGGGCATGACATA